AACAAAAAACAAACTGATATTTTCATCAGAGTAAAATCTTGGAACTAAATCCTGTAATTTGAATTTTAATCTGGCCAACATTGATCTTTTTAGATTGTAATTCTTACTCTAGTTTTTGTCCCTTCACTTTTAAAGTGGATTTTTGTCCCTTCACTTTTAAAGGGATTGTCTGGTCCAATGCAGAGCAGGGTCAGTAGCTCGCATTCAGGTCCATCTCAGATGGGATTTCCATGTTATACATCCTGCTAAGATGACCTCCTCTAGAAAAACTGAACTGCCCAAGAAAAAGACAAAATCGCTTTATCTCTGCCAATCATTAAGCCTACACAACATTAGTGTATGTAGTGTGTACATATTTTTGAAAGATCTCTAAAATATATCAAAACTTGCTAAATTCTTTTTCTGCTGCTGTCCCAATTAAGTGAAACGTTGTCCCAATTAAGCAATTAAATTATATATTAATTTATTAGTTTGGTTTCCGTTCTTTCGAATTTGGCCCAATAAAGTGGCTGCCCCAATTAACTGATGGCCCAATTAAANTAAAGTAAATAAGCTTATAATCACTTAATATTTAAATCTGTTTACGCAGTTAATTTTCTTAAAAATATATATTGCGTGGATTTATAAGGAAGAATTCGGCTTTAAAAATGCCTCGATCGTTATTAAATGTTTTAAGTTCTTTAAACTCGTTAGACTTATTTTTACGCCGACGTTTTCGAGATTAAAGTAAATAAGCTTATAATCACTTAATATTTAAATCTGTATTTAATTTTCTTAAAAATATATAGTTCTGTGGCTTTAATGTAAATCTAATGATAATTTTTTACGTAAAGGAGCTGATTTTTATGAATTTAAAATGCATTTCTTTCACATGTTTCTAAGTTTTAAGTTAGTATAGATATTAATTTAAGCATTAATTAAGATCTAATCTCTTCTTTCTGAAAATTCTTTTGTTAAAGGGAAGATACAATCTTAAATTCGAGTTTGTCAAGCTTCAAAATCTGCGTATAATGAAATATTTTAAATGATTTTTACTTATTTTAAATACATATCAATAATGATACTAATAGGCCAGGGAGAGTATTATAATTGTTTCCTTGTTAATCTAATTTATTTTTTAATAATATGAGGGTGAGTTTTTTTTTTCAAGCTCCGATGGTCCATAAAACAAAGACAAGTGTAAATAACAAAATAAATTTATTACCAAAAGTTAAGTACAAACATGGTTACTGTTCGACATAATCAAGGTGAAGATTGACATAATCACGGAAGAAAGAGATGGAAATTGCTCGGCACTAAATCAAGGATATATGCTGGGTGTTTAAATGTGATGAGAACTTCTACCCAGCTTAAAACTTTTTAATGTGTGAAGACTTTCACCTCTTTCCTGAACTGAAAAAGTGGCTAGCAGGGCAGAGGTTTCAGACTAATGACGATCTTCAAAACAATATTAGGGCCCATTTCAAGTCATTGGCGGCAACATTCTATCACAAGGGGATGGAAAAGCTCGTCCACAGATATGACAAATTCCTCAATCTTCACCATGATTATGTCGAAAAGTAACCATGTTTGTACCTAACTTTTGGTGATAAATTCATTTTGTTATTTACACTTGTCTTTTTTTTTTTTTTTATGGGCCATCGGAGCTTGAAAAAACAGCCTATATATATATTCTGTATTAATAAATTTATATTAATACTATTAATGTAATTTCTGTAAAAATTATGTTCTAACTATAAAAAGTACTATAAAAAATGAATTCTATAAACTCATCATTTTATAAAATTTCATTTTTATAGGAAATGAATGTAACTTGTACAGAAAATATTTTCATTAAATATGAATGGAATGTAAAGATCATGCACTATTGTTAGAAATTGTGTTTAAAATATTTCTTTTTAGCTATTTGTGAGATCCGACCTCAGAATAAGCCCAAAATTGTTCATTTTCCCCTCTAAATTTTTGACATATTTAAAATAAATTTGTCGCCTCCACGTTAAAATAACATTGTCGAAAAAAGGAATCAAATGTCGATGGAAACTTATAACATTCTGCTTTAGTATAAACATTCAACCCTCGAACAATGACATTCCTCTGCTGCAAGACAAAAAGTTTATAGTTAAGTCCGAATTCGCCAACTTTCTTCAGTCCTGAAGTTATAGGTTTGTCATTCTCCTTTCATCTAGCATCAACAACTAGTGACACATGGTAAAAAAATTTTTTCGAGAGATTTGTTACAGATTTCCCTCTGGTTTCGAAATTGTCCAGATACAGAATTACTAACTGATCTTGATCTTCCCCATTTTCTTAATTGCATAACTGGGATTTTGCTTTGATCATGATACTCTTTCAAGACAGGTATGATACACACTTACTGAGGTAGTAGGTTTTTCAGATTGTCCATTTCATATGATATTAGTGATCTTTGCAAAAATATAACAAGATGTATCACTGCAAGGCATCAATTTAGAACACCTTTGATAATTGAAATTGTTCACAGGATGTGATATAACTAATACTTAATCTCCAGACTGGAAATATGGAGTTGTTTCCAAAGTCTATTAGTGTTTGCCACCTTCTTCCATCAGTTTTATTTAATTTTCATTTGCTTTTTAATTTCTTTTAATATAATTGAGATTCTTTTGAAATAAGGTATAATTTCTGGTATAAAATTATCATTACCAATTATTGATCAGATGCTATATGCCACAGCAATAGTGGTGTACATTTCTTGACCAAATTGTAAAAACACAGCAGTTTGGCAGTAGGTTTGTAACAGCTTAGGAGTTGCTTGAGATATCTGCTTGCTTTGCATTTTCTTTTGTATGATCCCCTAGATTACACTCCTTCATTCCTCCTAATATTATCATATCTGTTCAACTTCTTGACTAATTCACTTGGAGATACAATATTTGCTCACACATCCAAAAAGACCCTAAGGGGGTCTTCTTTTGATTTAATCAGTTATGATGAGATCTCTCACTGCTCGAAGCTTTTCATTTTCAAACCAAAAAATCCATCCTTGAAAAGATTTTTACTTTGAATTAATGAACTATTTTTAAGTATTACCTGATACCTTTTGTGCTTGTAAAATAATTTTGTTTGAATTTATTGTGGCTCAGTTTAACCTTTTTAGTAGAAATGACTTTATATAATCATTGTCTATTGTGATTTTTGTTCCAGTTCTCTAGTAATTAGTTTTGCTATATTAGTAGGTAACACTCCCAATAATTTTCTGCAACCTTCAGAATTTTCATTTCTCTCTCATACAAACAAAAAACAAACTGATATTTTCATCAGAGTAAAATCTTGGAACTAAATCCTGTAATTTGAATTTTAATCTGGCCAACATTGATCTTTTTAGATTGTAATTCTTACTCTAGTTTTTGTCCCTTCACTTTTAAAGTGGATTTTTGTCCCTTCACTTTTAAAGGGATTGTCTGGTCCAATCCAGAGCAGGGTCAGTAGCTCGCATTCAGGTCCATCTCAGATGGGATTTCCATGTTATACATCCTGCTAAGATGACCTCCTCTAGAAAAACTGAACTGCCCAAGAAAAAGACAAAATCGCTTTATCTCTGCCAATCATTAAGCCTACACAACATTAGTGTATGTAGTGTGTACATATTTTTGAAAGATCTCTAAAATATATCAAAACTTGCTAAATTCTTTTTCTGCTGCTGTCCCAATTAAGTGAAACGTTGTCCCAATTAAGCAATTAAATTATATATTAATTTATTAGTTTGGTTTCCGTTCTTTCGAATTTGGCCCAATAAAGTGGCTGCCCCAATTAACTGATGGCCCAATTAAATGGAATTGATTGCATTTTAATATAAGAAGAATTTTTATTGATATGATTATTATTTTATGCCTAATTTAATTGATGTTGGTTACATTCTAAAAAAATATCCTCTAAAAAGTTTTTTTTATTAAAAAAAATTTTAGGGCATTATTATTTTTAGTTAGTTTTATTTGTATTTATTTATTTATTTTTTTTAATAAACAATCAATATTTTAAATGATTTTTATAGAGCATAAAGATATATCAATAATGATACTAATAGGCCAGGGAGAGTATTATAATTGTTTCCTTGTTAATCTAATTTATTTTTTAATAATACGAGGGTGAGTTTTTTTTTTCAAGCTCCGATGGTCCATAAAACAAAGACAAGTGTAAATAACAAAATAAATTTATTACCAAAAGTTAAGTACAAACATGGTTACTGTTCGACATAATCAAGGTGAAGATTGACATAATCACGGAAGAAAGAGATGGAAATTNATTTTTTATTTACTGCTTTTTGCTTTCTTTCCTTCACTTCCACCAGCACTTTCACTGGATAGAGGTCGCTTGGTAAAATATCTATCCAAAGAGCCTACTACCAAAGACTTCGCCTACTTTTTAAAATGTTTCTAAAATGACTTAGGCAAATGTCGTTACTGTGAGCAGCAATATGGTTAGTGCGAACCTTTTTGGGATGTTTCTTTTCAATAAAATCAGTCACTTTCTGATAATACCTCAAGATTTCCTTTATCGAGTGAGATCCTTCCACTACGAAGCAAACACGCAGACTGAGACCAATGAACAGAAGTGAATAAAAAATGGTGCTGCAAACTAATGTAACATCGTATGGTGAGTTTTTGTTCATATCGTGGGGCAAAAATATGTTTGAATTTCTTGCTGTGTCCTGAAAATTTCCTATGCTGGGGCATTCGTATCCTGAGATACCACTGTATAGAATAATTATAATTCATAATAATAATTATATAACTTGAATGTAGTACTTCAAGAAGTTTTACATTCAAGTTAAGTATTTCATCCTGGAAAGTTTATTAATACTTGAAAGGATTTTTTAAAACTACTTTTTTAATGCTTAAAATTTTAAATGGATATTATTCATATTAATAAATTTTAATTAATGAAACTATATATTACAATAAAAGTTGAAGTTATCTCATTATGTAATATCAATATATTATTTACTATTGTTTTAGTATCTTCAGTTTATCAAAGAATATCCATCTAAACATGATATCTGTTTGGAGATGCTGAAAAATTTGACTTCCAAAGGACTAGATCATATATCTACATCTGAGATATTGTCTCATTGCATTTTAGAAGTAATAATTTACCAAGTGCAATTAACTTTACAAGTTGAAGGTTATGAATCTGCCATTTCATTATTTAAGGTAAGTTACTTTAAAAATTATAATAGTTTGTCCTCTCAAGATATATGAGTCAATNTAAGAACCATGGTTATTAATTATACATATCTATTTTCATTTTAATCCTTTTCATTCAGGCAAGAAAACAGTATAAGTTTTTTTTTGTCATTCTTTTCTAACCAAAAACATATTTTTAATTATGTCATAGCTTAATATCATAAAATTGACTATTTCCCCATTTGTCTAGAAAATATACTTTTACTTTTCACTATGAATATCATAGTAAAAAGTAAATCAAAATACGTCCACGAGAACGAGCTCTAAACAGGTCTGAGTATCTGAGTAGTGCAACTTTAATTATAACCACCCTGTATATAAATCATTAAGATTATATATATATTTTTTTCAATCACATTTTTTTTATGAGTTATTTCTTTTATTATATATATATATATATATATATAATAAAAGAAATAACTCATAAAAAAAATGTGATTGAAAAAAATATATATATAATCTTAATGATTTATATACAGGGTGGTTATAATTAAAGTTGCACTACTCAGATACTCAGACCTGTTTAGAGCTCGTTCTCGTGGACGTATTTTGATTTACTTTTTACTATGATATTCATAGTGAAAAGTAAAAGTATATTTTCTAGACAAATGGGGAAATAGTCAATTTTATGATATTAAGCTATGACATAATTAAAAATATGTTTTTGGTTAGAAAAGAATGACAAAAAAAAACTTATACTGTTTTCTTGCCTGAATGAAAAGGATTAAAATGAAAATAGATATGTATAATTAATAACCATGGTTCTTATAAGATTTCTGGATAAATTTTCTACTAAATGTTAATGTGTTTTTTCTTTTTTATTTATTATTGTAATATGCTTGTTTGAGAGACAAGCACAATATACTTTTAATTTTTAATTTTAGAGGAAACTCATTCATTGTCAAAAAGAAAAAACTTGTGACCAAAATGAACACAGTAAAGAAAAAGTTGAAAATGTAAACATGAATCAAATTTCAGATGCCTTCCATATTGATGAAACTAAAAATCTTCAAGAAAATGATCAGTTTGTCTATGATTCTTGTATGAAGATGACAAAAGAAGAGATTGAAGAAAATTCTATCAAATTTTTAACGGAAAAAGATTATTGTTTTGCATTGTTGTGTTACATATATATATTTGTATTTAATTCTCTACCCGCGTTCATTTTTCAAAATGGTCAAGATAATCTTGGTCATATAGTTTCAAAGGTAAGATCATAATTTTTTTTATGTAATTTAAATAGTAAATTTTGAATTTGATGAATAATGTTTTAGTAATAATTTGTTTTCAAAAGAACTTTGAATAAGTTTTTAATACACTTAAGAGTATTCTTTGGTTGATATATTAGTTTATAATTTCAAATATTTCTGAAATTGGATTATAAAAATTAGTTTTAATTGCTAGCAACTGTTATGAATATTTAAGTAATGAATCATATTCACATGAATAATAATTAAATTTTAATTATTTTGTTAATTTCACATTTATAGTTTCCTTTGTTAATATTTTCGTCTTACGGATTTTTGATATTTTCTCTTAATTACATTAAATTATAATTTAGAAAATTAGAATACATATCTTGTAATAAGCTAATGAAAGTAATATGATTTTTTATTAAAGATTAATATCAAAGAAATTATAATTACGATTGTAATATATTTATCAAACCTTATTAGGCAGTTTATAAGTAATTTTACCAGAAATATAATAGTGTCAATTTGGCTAAAATAGATTATAATAAATATTTTAAAATATTGTTACTGTTTTTATTTATTACATAATTTTATTTTAAAAATGATTATTAATACAATTTTTATATAGGATTTATTCCTGATTGATTGGTCACAATATTCAAAACTTAATAAATCTAAAGAAATAATTAAAGAAACAATTGAAGAAATTTTATCTACTTATTTAGAGAGATGTAAAAATAAAGATTTATATTTTCCATTTTATTTTCAACTGATTACTTTAGAATTGTTTAATGAAAAGTAAGATATTTTATTAATAATTATAGTTTTTGCTTAATTTACTGTTGACAAATTGAAAAATGATGTATATGTTTTATAGTTATGATTCAGCAATGAATATCTGCAGGCAGTTACAAGAATTATCATCAGATATTACTGATACATGGTTATTAACAGCCAGAATATATATTCATCAATCTTTATTTGAAGAAGCAAGCAAGGTTAAATAATATACTATAAGTTTTTAAATACAGGTAACCCCCGTATAACTTGGGAGTTATGTTCCAAAAAATTGCCGTGTTATGCGAATCCGTGATTTACGAAACAAAGAACTAGTACGAAAAAGGAGGTTAGGTTCCAAAAATAAAAAAACATACTATTATATTTTCATAATTAAGATAAATATCTTTATTAAAATTTTCTTAAGTGATATGTTAATATAAATTAAACAATGTTTTTTTCGTCATCACTAAACACTATTAACCGAGGGTGTTTTCTTTTTGGCAAGATATCCTTATCATCTGAGCATTTTTCTGCATTGTCTTCAAATCCATGCTCTACCTTTTGCAAAAAAATATGTTATTTCAGATTGCTTGCTTTTAGTTAAAAGATCTTTATAAATTTCCTTACATGGTGCTAAGCACTTATGAAGAATAAAGCAAGTATAGAATAAGGGAAAAACATCTGGAAACACCAAAATCAGAAGCATCGAGATCAGGCAACACTGAAAGAAGTTTTGAGAAGGACCACGTGTATCGACAGAAAGCGGGAAAAGAAAATTTACATACTTAAGTACTAATAGTTCACGAAAATAATAATTTTCATGAACTATTAGTACTTAAGTATGTGAAAATTTATTACGTTTCATGTTGTACAAGAGTTTTACCCAATTCACAAACTGTGTTAGAGTGAATCTGCGCTATAAAAGCACCGTGTTATATGGGGATGTTCCCAATTCTCGAACCGTGTTAGAGTGAATCCATGCTATAGAAGTGCCGTGTTATACGGAGGTTACCTGTATAAGAAATTTTGTCATACTGTACATAAGTTTTTACATTTTTTTATTTTTATGATATATTTTTCTAATTGTTTTTAAATTTTGCTGATATTATACATATTTGATTAAAAATTAAATAATGAATTTTTTATTAATTAATTCACAAACACATGTTAAATAATTTATTAATGCTTCAATAATTTTTATTTTACAATAAAAATAAACATAGGTAAAGTATATAATAATCTGTTTATTAAATGAGAAAGTATTTTAAAAGTTTTATTTTTATGAAATTTATAATGAAAAATTTTTTTACATAGATTTTTGAAAAAGCAATAACCATTGCACCTTTTGATCCTTACTTATATTATGCGGCATCTTTATTTTATTTTAATAATAACAACACACATAAGGCAAAGGATTTATTAGAAAACTGTATATATAAAACTTTTAAAAATTCAGTCATGTCTTGTAGAATACCAGAAAGTGCCATTTCTCTTTATTGGTAAGTTTAAATATATAATATATCAAATAACTTGATTCCAGTCTTTATTGTTTTATATTTAATATAGTAATTTTCAGAAAAAACTTAGTGGAATGTTATATTGATAAGTCTTTAAAATATGAAACATTTTTTTTTTCTTGTTTTTTTCAATGGGAAAGTTGTTTATCATCAATGTAAATTGTTTATCACTTAATATAAAAATGGTGATAAAATATTTAAAAATAACTATTTGCATTAGTTATATAAGATTAGAACATATACAGATTTTTAAAAATGTTTTCTGATATATGTTAGATTTGAATTTTTTTTTTTGTTATTAATTTGAATATTCAAATAGTAATAATTTTCTGTTTTGTATTATGAAGATTAGACTTTATTCAATTCTTTTCTGTTTAAATGATTTTCATAAAATAATTCATGAATTCTATCTTACATATCAAAATTAGTTAGAAACAAATTATACAGTTAACATTAATTGAAATATAGTATCCATAAAATTTTCCCAAAGTGATTAGAAATATATTTTAAGCATAATATGTATTATTTTTAACTGTAATGATTTATCTTTGTGTTATTTTGAAAATAATGTAAATTTACTGCTTTTTTTAAAAATTAAGATGGCTTAAAAATAAATATATTTTTGTGTTACTATTAAATTTAAGTTTTTTCCTTTTTTTTTTTTTGTAAAAATGTGTGTAGAATATGGAGACGTGTTTTCACTGTTTTTATCTCTCATTATTTTAGTATCAACGTAATAATGATTTATAATGTGTGTTGAAGTAATTTAAATAATGAATTTTTTTTTGTTTACTATTTTAGATGATATATATTTAATAATTGAAAAGTTCAAAACTTTTTAGCAAAATTTACTTGCATTTTTTAATAATTTAAATATTTTATTTACTACACATTTAAAAATATTTTATTTAAATGAACTACACATTTAAAAATTATTTACTAATTTTTTTTCTTGCTTCTAGTAAATTACTTGAACATAATAATGAGATAACTCATCAATCAGAAAATCAAAAGAAAAATGAGATTCCTGAAAAAGCTCAAGCATATCTATGGCTTAATTATATGTAAGTAAATTTTAAATATTGGAATAATTATGTATATTTGTTTTAAGTATCATTTACATTGTTTTTATGTCAATAATTATAATGATTTTTGTTTTACCTAATTTTATTTTAATGCATTAGTAGAATGATGAAAGAAATATGTATATGTACAGTACATATGTAGAAAGTTAGTTATGATGTCTTTGAATGATAGCAGTTTTTGCGGCATTTGTGCCTGGCTCCAGCATGATCACTATCTCCATTGCTAACGACTGAAGTTGCGCGGCATACATCTGCACATATTCCTCCCTTTTCTGAACGCAGGTATAAAATTGACTGAGTCGAAATGGAAAGGGTTTGCAGTCAAAGCACTCTATCATTAAGCATTTGAATTCCTTGAATTCATCTATTGCTTTAATCCTATGATCTTTCCTTACAAATTCACGTGCTATTCCTGTGAGTTTTAACTTTTCTACCACTAGCACCTGTGCCTTTGACCAGGCAGTTACTTTGGTAATATTTGCCAATGAATCAAAAAAATCAGTTACTCTGGGGCCTCCTGCCTCTCCAGAAAATACAGTAACAAAGGTATTATACCATCTAGACCTCCCAATGTAAGAGGATTTGGTGCTGGATTCAGATTTGGGTTGCCTGGCCCAGCCGCAGGTTGAGGTTGGGGATCGTCCTCCATTGTGTCTACTAATTATTATTTAATTTCCCTACGGTAGGAGACTAATACCTAACTCGATTCGAATCGACTGTGTTACTTATATATGGCCTTTTTTTTTTTTGCTTCATCAAAGTTCCGAAAAAGTCAAAACCCCACTTCTGACACCAATATGTGAGAACTGGGGGTATGACTACGTTGTACCTCTGTGGATCAGCTTTCAAGTCGGAGGGACTTGCCCACTAGTCAGAGATGGCTTAACTTTTCTTTAGTTTATCCCGAAGGAACGGGATTAAAATTTTTCAGGTCGAGTGGAGGAGGGAGGAGTGCCGTTGGTAAGGTGACAGGCAATATACAAGTAAAAGAGGACACCAATTTAATAAAGAAACAACGATTTATTAGTTATCTATATAAACGATACAATAACTATTATCAACAGAAAATTCTGAGATCCTAAAATGTGAAGGGGCCAAGAGAGAGTTCACAAAAGTTAGTTCCATACCTCTCTATGGGTTTAGATATCCTAGAGAACAAATGTAGAGCATAAACGTAGGACACAAGTTAAAGTTAAATCCTAGAGTATGTATTACTACTACCATTGATGAGTGACTCCCCAGAGGGGGGAGAGAAGTGGCTTTTATTGTTTCACGGTGGGAAAACTGTCATGTGACTAATTAGTTGTGAGGTGAAAGGTGTGCGGGGAGGTCAGAGGTGTCCCTGAAACCCAAATAAAATGACAAAATTGTATGTTAACTATCAACCTTTAAGTTTGTAGTGTGGGAATGATTGTCGAGATGGGCGAATGTTTACCTTGGAAAAAGGGGGTGTTAAAATTTTTCCCTCTTTCAAGTGTTTTTCACTCTAGTTTTTTAGGGGAATTTAATTGGTTTTTTTAGGTAAAATGGGACATTGATCGGGGAAAAAATCGGTAGAAAATCCAGATTTCACACAAGGATCAAGAAAATTTTGAATGAATAGAGATAATTGTATCATTTTAGCTGAGCAAAGGAATGTAATCTTTGTCAGAAGCATCAACTGATACTTAGTTCATATAACTTTAAGCAACCAACATTATTTAATCAACAACTAGGATTACAACTATTGAACATGAAAAAATCTGTTATGATTATATTATTGATATATTATCCTGTTACATTTAACAGCAATAAATTTTTATCTCAAAATGTGAATAAATCATACTGTGACCATATTTTGAATTAAATATTTGACAGTATACATCAGAAAAATTTATATTTAACGACAATTGAACTTAGATTATTATTTTTATAAGAATAGTAATGAATTTAGAACATTGAAAAAGTAAGAAAGACAGCGGCGGCCTTATCCATTGCGAGGCTCTGGGCGGAAGATCTTTGCAAGGCCCTTGTCCTTTGCGCAAAATATGTGAATTGAAATAGGTATTTCTGATGATTGACGAGAAATGCAAAAGTTATAAATAAATAAATGTAGAGTTTTAACATATTAGGCCTATATTAGAAGATTTATAAAAGTTAACAAACATAAAGACGACAAATTATTAATGATGATAAACTAAGGTACATAAATGCCTTAAAAGATATACACAGGGATTTAAAAATGATGTTTGTGGCTTTTCCTAAGACTAAAATCTTTAATTAAAGCAGAATAATCTAACGAATGAGCTACGTCATTTTCAATTGAAAGAATAGCAAGGGCCGAAAGCCGATCTTGTGTCATCGAATTCCTGAAATATGTTTTAATCATTTTTAACCTCGAAAAACTCCTTTCTGCAGACGCAACTGTCACAGGTGTGGTGGCAATAATTCTCAGGACTACTTCCATAGTGGGGTACACTTCAGTTAAATTGTTTTCTATTATATATTTCAGCACCGAGATAATGTCATCGTTTCCTTCATATACACGGATAAACATATTCAGTTCTTCATACAATTCATGTCCATCAATATCAGATGTTTCTCCTACTGTTAGAGATATTTGCAAGTCACTGCATTGCTTCAAAAGTTCACAATCACTAATTTCCTTTAATCTTTTTATGTTATACATGAAACCATATATGCTCTCATGATGTTTAAGTGCCTCAAATCTAGGTTGGCAGCTTGCGCGCACATTGTCGACAACGACATAAAAATAGTTTATTTTGAAACTCTCTTCCTCAGATAATTCAAGAGCTTCATCTTTCTGGTCATAATCAAAATTTGTTCTTTTACATCTCCTTCTCACGACTTTGAACTCTCTATCAATATCATTTTCCTCGGCTATTTCTCTCACTGTTACCAAGGATGATTGGAAACCATTTTCCCGATAATTATCAAGCCAATGTGTAAATGCCTCTAGGTGTTGTATAGCCGCATCTAGGAGCATTTTTTCGCTCTGCCAGATTTTACTTATAACATTTATCTTTGTAAGAATGTCATACCATACGACGAGAGCAACTACAAATTCGTAGGTAGTTATTTCCTTTTCTACAGAATGGCATTCACTAACCAACTGACAATCTGTTGTATTTTCTGTTAAATCCTTCAAAGCATCACATATATCGCTTAGTTGGTATTTAACGGCCTTCACCGATTCTACCCTGCATTCCCATCTAGTTTCGGAAAGTGGTTTTAGCGATAAGGATTTTACATGTGCTTTTAAAATAGCCCACCTCTGACTCGAGCCGGCAAACAGAGTGTACAGCCTTTGTAGCAAACCAAAAAAAGATTTTGCTTGAACACAAGAGGATGCTGCATCTCCTAGGATGAGATTCCAGCTGTGACTCCCACAAGGTAAAAAATAAGCAAGTGGATTAATTTCAAGTATACGTTTCTGGACACCACTTTTTTCTCCACGCATATTGGCTCCATTATCATATCCTTGGCCTCTGCAGTTTTGCAATGATATACCCAACTGTTCTAGCTCTGTGATTATGTAATTAGTCAAACTCTCAGCTGTGGTTTTTTCGACGGCTAAGAAGCCAATAAAATGTTCTTCAATGTCAGCTGTATTTGTATTAAAAAATCTTATAATAATTGACAGTTGCTCAACACGAGAAACGTCACGAGTACAATCAAGAATAATCGAGTAATATTTATTCTTTATTATTTTGTCAACAATTTGAGCCTTCACGTGACTTGCCATTAATTGTATAAGCTCATTTTGAATATTTTTTCCGAGATAGTGGTCATTAGTCGTCTTGTCTGTTACTTGTTTTAGGTGAAGTCGCAACATTGGATCGAATCGGGCTATTAACTTTACTAAATCTATAAAGTTGCCGCTAGTCTCACTTGAATCTGAGTCAGATATTATTTTCTCTCTATGACCTCTGAAGGCCAAATTGTGAGATGCTAAAAAATTTACAATTGCAAGTAGTCTTTCTAAAATATCTCTCCAACGCTGCCTTTCTTGTTCAATTTGATTCTGGGCTAAAGAGTCAATAGTGGTACAGCTTTTTAATCCGTTTTCTAAATTTAACCATTTCAACATACAATCTTTGTGCAGTCGGCTAGATTCATGAGACTTTAAATAATCACCCAAGTGTTTCCAATCACACACTCCTTCACTGGATCCAATTCTTGTATTTTCTAGTCCGAACAGTCGACACGGAAAGCAGTAAACGGCATCCTTTGTTTGTGAATAAATCATCCAGCGCCTGTCAAGTTTTTCACCATTAGCTAATATTTTACTGTAATGATATTCGCTGAATCGTTGTCCGTTATCATTTACGGGAAAAAAATCAACTTTAACCCGGATTGGACCTTTTAATACAATCTCAGTTCGGTCTACATCAGTAATTGTCAATGGCCACAAACCTGGGTCATTCTGAGGATTCAGATTTTCAATTCCGCCAGTCGTGGATATAGACATAGACTTAGATACGTATTCTTGGCTGGATAGTGTTGACGAAGGCGGCGGTGGTGTAAGAGACAATGATGTTGTTGACTCATTATCCTCGCTATTGTTACTAGGTGGCATCCATGATGATGTTGAAGGAATAATTTCAGCTGGGTTAAGGTTACAGTGCAATAATGTGTCACTTTCAGTCAATGATGGGTTTTTAGAGGTTTCTTGACAATCACTTTTTATATATTTATATAAAGACCCACGTAGTTTTTCTTCTACCCGCTTTCTTTTGATAGCTCGTTTCCTTTTTGAATTACCCGACTCAAATTTTCTACCGGCATCACGATCACGTGAACTCATTTCATAAATCTTGTTTTGCACATAAAACGAATTCAGAAATAATTTGTAAGCAATTTTACACAGTTTTTTTTAACAGTTCACTCCTTACTATAAGTACTGTTAATAATGTAAGATTCACTGAAACTTAATACCATTTAATGTTTATTTACCTACTGAAAGATATATACAAACGATTATGTAATGCATACAACGGCTAGCAAAATAAGTGTCAGGTGACAAGAGTTGACAAACGAAATGAAACACAGGGATTCCCCGAGTGTAAATCGTAAACACGATGAATCACGAAAGTAACAAAACCGCGCGTTTAAGTGTGTTTTCTAATGCTCGAGGCGTAATATTCAAATAGTAATGAATTTTTCAAATGTAAGTCAAATTACATAAAATATTATTAACTGTTAAATTAATTAATTTTGATATCGTTAATCTTACTATTTATACGAATGTGAGAGTGGATAAATCTAAATAAGAAATTTTATTTAGGCACTTATTAATATTAATATATACTGTACTATGAATTAAATTTATTTTATTGTTATAACTAATCGCCAAGGATAAAATAAAAATTTTTAAATATCAACTTTTTTCTACTTGGTTGTTGCGCGAGGCTCCTCCGAGAGCGAGGCCCCGGGCTATTGCCCTGCTCGCCACCCCCTAAGGCGCCACTATCTGGCTCTATATCTTAAAGACAAAAATGACATGCAAACAATTTTTATTCAAGTTTGATTTGTTTTTTAGGGTCTATCAACATACCATAACACAAGAAATTGCTATACTACATGATTTGTTGTCATTTTATCATATTTGTNGGCACTTATTAATATTAATATATACTGTACTATGAATTAAATTTATTTTATTGTTATAACTAATCGCCAAGGATAAAATAAAAAATTTTAAATATCAACTTTTTTCTACTTGGTTGTTGCACGAGGCCCCTTCGAGAGCGAGGCCCCGGGCGATTGCCCTGCTCGCCACCCCCTACGGCCGCCACTGCTGTGACACATCATCCGGAAAACCTCGCCCCTTCGTGCCGCATAATTTCCGACGAATCATATTCGATCACCTACAAGGACTTTCTCATCCAGGAGCAACAGCAACCACTAAGCTAATTTCAAGCCATTATGTTTGGCCGGGCATGCGGAAGGACATCCGTCAGTGGGCACATTCCTTGCATTGTATTCCCTGCCAGAAATCGAAAATTCATCGCCGCGCCTGGACACCAATAGGGAAGTTTACACTTCCGGAAGCAAGATTTTTCCATCTTCACATGGACCTGATAGGACCACTTCCTCCAGCTGATGGAAACATTACTGCCTTACAGTGATCAACTGTTTTACCAGATGGCCAGAGGTCATCCCAATTGTCGACATATCTGCTGAGACGGTATGCCAAGCTTTTTCTCAGGTTGGATCGCAAGATTTGGATGCCCTACTACCATCACCACTGATCAAGGACGTCAGTTTGAATCAAACCTATTCCAAGAACTGACCAGACTTCTCAGCACCAATCACATCCATTCAGCAGCATACCAATCCCGATCAAACGGTTTAATAGAACGATTACATAGACACCTTAAGGTATTGCTAATGTCACACGAATCCTCCAAATGGACAGACGCCCTTCCGGTAGTCCTCCTGGGAATTTGTTCAGCAATTAAAGCCGATATAGGCACAACAGCAGCTGAACTGTTATATGGTACCCCATTAAAATTACCAGCTGACATCATTAGCCCCAACACTCCATGAGTTCCTTGCAAATTATTTGTCAGTCAACTAAAAACCCACATGGCCAATCTGAAACCGTTAGCAACTTCCGCTCATTCCATACAGAAAATTTTCACTCATCCAGAGCTAAAGGAATGTACACATGTTTTCTTAAGATTCAACGCAAATCGATCTCCTCTCCGCCAGCCTTACTCAGGCCCATACAAAGTGCTAGAAAAACACGACAAAACACTAGTAATTGACATCCAAGGTTGCAAATCAACCATCTCCATTGACAGAGTAAAACCAGCGTATATCTAACAGGACGAATCACCCCAGGAATCTATTATCAAAACCATCCAGTCAAGTCCATCGCAGACACCACTGTCATCAGCAACAGCAAACAATAAAAAACTGGAAACTACCTCTAGAGAAGATCAAACCATTACGACTAGATCAGGCCATCATGTTCATTTTCCTAAAAGACTAGTCACCATAATGTAACGTTAAGCGACTCATTCGACATCAATTCTATCGCTCATCCCTCACTGGGGGGATACTCTGTGGCAAATGCCGCCCTTCACATCTGTATCCTTAACGGTTGTAAAATACAAGCAATTACCCCCGGGTGTATGAGTCATCACTTCCTGGAATAAATTCGAACTCACCCCACAAAGACCGTCGAAAACCAGTTGTCTTTGTTAGCCGTGTTGTCGAGATATGTGCTGTACCAAGTACGCGACAAGGACCATAAAAGTTTTTGTTAGTTAGTTTTTGTTATGATCTCATCTCGTTCGTTTCTTCCACTCGCAGTGACAAAAGATAAAAGCAACAACAACGCAAAAACCACACTGGTATATAATGCATAAAGTTATAATGGACATGTTTATAATGTAAAATACATCGTGCGCAAACTCTACATTAAGTTTATTGTAAGATACTTTTCCTTGAAAAGTTAAAAAATAAAAATAAGTATGACCTATTACATAAGCTTAAATCCATATTCTTTAATGGTTATTTATATGTTTTTATTGATTAAAAAATTAATACCTGCTAATGAAACCATACTAGATCTATGAGACTGTCCACAGTAAACAGTAGGAGAACTTTGGCCATTTATATTATAAGTAGGTTGCTGCCACTGAGGAATATTGTCAGAAGAAGGACTATGATGTTCTTTCCTAAAAATAAAAATAAACAAAATAAATATGTTAATGTTCACACACACACACACATATATATATATACTGTATATATATTATATATATACACTGTATAGGAGAGACTGTTCCATGTTCAGACACTTTCTTTTTAAATCATTTGTTGTGAATTGAGGTTATAGAGAACAAATTTAATTATATACTGCCACAGCACTGTCTATTGTCCTACCATTTCATCAGTATTGAAAGTAAAAAACTTTTTATAAGACAACAAATTGTAGTGCAGTGTAATATACAACCATACAGGGCATTCCATCTTCGGACATAAATATTTTGAGCCAAAGAAAATTCAAATATGCACATATTGTGAAAAGTTTAAAACAATCATTCTTGTGTTTAAACATTTACAAAAGGATTTCAGAATCAAAGGATTGACACTCAACTGACATTGTAAAAATTTTCAATACATAATAACAATTTTTACTTAAAAGCATAAGCTACAAATGCTAATAATAAAATGTTTTAATATTAGCCAATATTGGCATAATCATTAAAATAAATATTAAATAAAAAACTTTCTGACACTGCATAAAGGATAAAGAAATTTCAGATAACTTGGCAAATATGTCATTTATGTCAACTAAATATTTCTTTTAATCTGTATTTCTATATACCTATGAATGATTTTCCTTGTGAGGTATATGACAAATTCATCATCACACACATACTCATCCTGTATTTCTACTTAGGCAATACTTTGGCAGTAGCATTTTAAAGATCATTATCCACCTAGAAAACTAATTTATCATGTAAATATACTTAATAATGATTAATTTTTACAAGATTCAATGTTGGTGCAAGCCTGTTGCAACATTAACAAAATCTATTCCATCAGTGGATGCATTTTCACTACTATATGCATCCACTAGTATATATCCACTGGTATGTATTGTTTAGTTATGTGAGGTTAGCCATTCAGGTGAAAGATGTCATGACAATTGAGTGGTCTAAACAGTCATGTGGGTATAGAAAGATTCACCGAGACAAGGTTACCATTAAAAACTGTTTAAAAACATAGAAATTTCCTTACAAATTCCTTGATTGATGAGGTAGTACACACAAAATGTGTGGATGAAGTCCGAATAGAGTTTGAAAAGTTCTGTCTTTGTCTGTGTCCATCCACAAGATGGACACAGACGGTAAAATTCTCCGTAGGCCCCAGAGATTTATCACGGCTTTCGGCAACTTCTCATTGGGCGAACTGACAAATCTGTAGATCACTAGGAAACACCAAAGAACGATGGTTCCACAAGTTCCAAAATGTTCTTTTGTTTTCCAAAGATCTGGAGCACGCACGTCCAAGAGAGGAAACACTATGAATCCAAGAACCCAAAATGTCCTTGAAACGCTGGTTTTATACTGTTTTTTCCCCTTAGTCACCTCTCCATTGGTCTCTCACTATCACCTGGTGACAATTCGAAACCTGATGGAGGGCGCGGGAGAGGTCAGCGTTGCGACTGAATATGATTCCTCTCTCATTGCTTTTTCTCGACTTTATTCCTTTCCATTGTTTAACTAATTTACATAAAAATTTCCATTGTTTGATTGAGACATCTAATCCTTTCCATTCGCATCTGAAAAGGAGCTCTTTAAATTTCCGATCGATCCCCTTCATTCAGACCCCTCAGTCGACCCTCGTTCGGGTCCTCACAGTTATGGAAATGGAGTAATGTTTGTTCTGTGAGTGAGAGAGACAAAACTCATAACTTGAAAACAATGCAACAGGGGATCTACAATGCACCCAACACACATATTTCTTCATGACTTAGTCTCAACTAGAATGCTGCAAACATGCTGACTGAGAATCTTACAAATGTTTCTGAGAAAGCTAAAAAAGACCCTGAAGTTGTTTTATCACTTATGTCCAATGTCCACATGGTTACCCTATCTTGCTAGTGCAGACTCAGTACATAGATGCCATTTAACAATAAACTTGGGAAGTCTCTTGACAAGTTGCAAGTTGTGAGATTTAAATTGATGGAACTGTCCACACGTGGAATGGTCTCCCTTATATATATATTTGATTATATTGATATATATATGTATTTTGTTTTTTAAGACAATCTTTTATCTTTTTACCTACCTGTGAAAATTAAGACCAGAACTAGAAAACCATCTCTTGAGTAAACCAAGACGATCAGATGGAAGTAGAGAAAGCTGATGAGGAAGTGAATGTCTGAAGAATAAGGATAGAAAAGCCAAGATATTTAGTAGCAAAAGCAATAGATATTTATTTTCTTTTAAGCAAACCATTAAAAGCAAATTTAATATATTAAAATTTAGCTATGTTATTTAAATAAAAACAATCTAAACAGTTAAAAAGATTATTAGACAATTTCGTTTTAGTTGAATATGATCGATTATACAAAGAATGATAAAGATCAAAACAACACAATGATATTCAAAAACTGGATATATTGATGCACTTTCAAAGTCATAAAGACATTAATATTCTACAATATAATAAAATAAAAATATGCCAATAATTGTCAATCTTTGCTTATTATAAATATCTTAAATGGATGGCTGGATGGATAAATGGCTGAAGCAGTTAAGGCCCTACCACATTGGGGACCAAGATCAAATCTGGACAAGCAACTTCTCAGAAGTTTTCCAGGGAGTGGTGTATCCTGGATATGTTGGGCCCTGTCCTTCATACTTGGACACTTTAATTATGGATATAAACCCAACTAAAACCATGATGGATATGGGGGAAAAAGCTTTCTTAGCACTTAAGACAGAAAGAAAGAGAGAGAGAAAAACTGATGCAATGACATAGCTTATTGTATTGAACAAGACCCAATTTGAAAGATGTATTTCTTCTTTTAGAAGATTATAGATCTAAATTCCATCTTTATCTTTTGATAAAATTTCCAGGACTATAATTGTAAAATTAATGTACATTTTAAGACTGTTATTTTATTAGGCTAAAATATTTTCAGATCACAGATTTGAAAGAATTGAAAATTCCCACTGTCGTCTGCTGTCTTTCATTAATCTTGGGAATAGAGTTAGATAAATAAAAATTGAGACTAGATATGGGAAGCTTAGGACTGGAGGCCCTGATTAACTGTAGATCAGGTCTGGAACCTCAAGTCTGAACTGGAAGTCACAGGATTTTTTAAATTAAATGATGATGAAAAATTGAAGCCTGGCATTGTGTTGATATCACAATAACATACATTCAATTTTTATGTTAAATGTTTTTAATCGAAATTTTAAATAATTGATTCTTAATGGATTATTTATGCATTGCTTAATTTATTAAGTTTATCTTATAGTTGTAAGTTTATCCAAAAAGTCTGTTAAAATTAAGTTAAATGGTAAAAATTAATAATTACAAATGTATTCAATCCATTTTGTATAATTCAAAATTTCGATAGAAATCATTTTTTTCAAATACACAGCTGTTACAAGCTCTTTTTAACTCTCAATGATGTCTTTCTTATTGAAATTTTTCTGAATTTCAAAGTATGTTTCTATTCCACAATGAAATTTATCAAAACAGCAATGTATATATGTTTAAATGGCTAAATTTTCATTAATATAAAAATATTTCCAAGAAAGCTCCTCAATACTAAACAGATTTATGCCATATGAAATTTTTGTATTTGTAATTGCTATTAGATTAAATTAAAGACAGTACTTATTGATGGAATTTGTTATATAATAGATAGGCATGTCACTATTTAATAAAAAGTTAGCAAATTAGTTTTGAAAAGAAAAGTTATGAATGAAATTTAAACTCATATATTCAGATGAAGAAAAAATCAACCTCCCTTCAAAAATTATGGTATTATCTTGTGTAAAATTATCTTGTAAGTAATAATTAATTACTACTTACAAGATAAAAATAATGTAAGATTATTTTTATTTATTAATACATTAATTTAATAAAATGTCAATAAAACAATTTTGTTGCTTAGCATTAAGAATAAACTAAAAAATACCAAAAAAATTTTATTTAACTTTTTAAGCAATTTTTAGCAATTAATTTTTAATTTAAAATATCAGTTATTAAATGAAATATATGCACAAATAGAATGAAATTTTGTTTTTTATTGCAATGATTAAATTTTTTTTAAATATACATTAAGATTTTATAGCATTTGATAAATTTAAAATATTTAAACAGTCAAATTGCTTACCGAGATGGTTGTGGCTGGTTTCTTGGAGGAACTGGTGGTGATTCTATCAATTAAATTATAATAAATATAAATAAATTATAAATTGTATATCAGAAATAGTATTTCTTAATGCAAATAATTTATTACATTACAGTTTTTTAAAGTTGCCCTATTTTAAAAGAATAACATCTGTTGACAAGATAATGCCAGCAAGATAATGATCCCAAACGTGCTTATATTGTGTGTTGATAGATGGTCTATAATGTTCCTCATCTTCTACCAACTCCACCACAATCACCTAACATCAACCCCATAGAGCATCTATGGGCAGAGTTGAAAAAGGAACTAGAAAATTTTGAAATCAGATCAAAACAACAGTTAAAAGAGGTTTTAGTCCAAGAATGGGAAAAAATTTCATTTGACTTTTCTGAAAGACTAGTATCAAGTATGCCTTGTCAACTTCAAGCTATTACAGATACTAAAGGAGGACCAACAAAATATTAAATAAATATTTTATTTACTTAAATACCATCTATATTCACATTTTTGCAATACCTGTTTTACTGAAATACTATGTAATTAATAGTTTTGAAAAAAGATAAATTCATGTATTTTAATAGTATGTTATTAAATTATTTATTTATTAAATATCTTTGCAATATTTATTTTGTGCTGATGTTACATTTTTCAAAATTTTCACACTATCTCTATACACACCATTTTTCCAAACCACACTGTACGTACATACATACACACATAAATATATTATATTTTATTGGTTTATATGTATATATGTATGTACAAAATGACAAAACATTGATACTATTAGGTCTACTGAAAAATTCTGTAAAGTTTCAAAACATATGAACTTGCTCATTTGAAACATATATGGCTGCCTCTTTTACCATTGTATTTCTACATATTTGCTTTTCTAAAATGATTTCATCATCTCAGTATTAAGTGAGATTCATCTGTGTAAACATGTTTATTGATATAAGTTCATTTACACCATTGCATTCTGTATGAATTCCAACAATGTAGAAATGCTACAGAAATATATAGAAATTTGCTAAGTTTTTGGTTAAGATGCAGTTTACAACAGAATATTCAGGAGACAGTTCAAAAAATTTGAAGCAGGCAATTTCAACCTAAATGACAAGCCATGCACTGGGAGACCATCTCTGATCAATGACAATATGTTACAATCATTATAAAGCAAGATCATTTTTTGACAACAGAGATTGTGAAAAAGCTCAACTCAACACAGCAAACCATTTTTGATCATATTTGGAAACTTGGACTCATGTATAAATAATTCAGATGTATGCCTCTTAAGTTAAATGAAAAAAGTTTACATGACAGAGTTGTCATTTGCACTAGGGTTTCTTATTTCCNCGTTTCAGAAACCCTAATTTGCACATATCTGCTTTCTCAGAACAAAAACAAACCTTTCTTAGATGGGATGATAACCAGTGATGAAAAGTGGATTATATATGAGAACATTGTGAGAAAAAGAGCATATTGTGAACCTGGACAACCTTCTCCCTCCACCTCAAAACCAAACTTGAGCCTCAATAAGAGAATGCTATGTATATGGTGGGGATGTCAAAGGACCAATACACTATGAGTTTCTCAAACCCAAAGAAAGACTCAATTTGGAAATGTATTCTCAACAAATAGATGATTTGAACAAAGCACTTAAGAAAAAGAGACTGGCACTGGTCAATAGGAAGCAAATCATACTACACCATGATAATGCCAGGCTACATGCTACTTTGGTGACTCACCAGAAAATTGCAGTGCTAGGCTGGGAAATTATGTTACATCCACCATACTCTCCAGATCTAACACCATCCAATTATCAGATAATAATCAGATGGTGTTAATATAATATAATTGTTTTCATCTCCAAAGATGTAGAATGTTTCATTCTACAGAAGTGGAATCCACAAATTACTTTTATGCTGGAAATAGGTTATTAGTAATGATAGAAATTATATTGTTCAGTAAATATTAATAAATGCATTGAAAATGTATTATTTTCTTTTAATTCAAAAATGGACAGAACTTTCTGATAGACTTTTTTCACTAATATTGGTCTATTACATGAGTTTATCATTAATAATTCATTGCTTATTACTCAAGAATGTTTTCAATATAATCAACTCAAAATGTAGTCATTGAGCTTGAAATTGTAATTGACATTTCAGTCCATAATTTGAGATAAACATGGAAAATATATTGAATTAAGTATGAAAATATGGGGAAAAAAATAAATTTTGAGATAAACATGTTTCAGATAGACAGGTTTCAACTGTATACATAACATGCTATTTTTTATTCCACTAGATCCCCCCTGGAAATTTTCTGATGATGCATCTGACTCTTGATTTATATGATTTATATTTATATAGAATCAGTTCACTGTGTAAATCAAAGATTGTGTGTACATTTTTAATAAACATGTTATTTCTAAATTCAAAAGCATTGTTTAAATGGAACAAGAAAAACTTTTTTCTCATTCCATTGATGAATGAGTTTTTCTCATTCCAAAAATGAAGAAACAAATAATTTTCTGCATTAATAATAAAGCAGGATTACTCACCTCGATTGATATATGGGGTAAGTGGTTGCAATGGAAAGGCTGGAGTTAATGGACGGTCTCCATTTCTCGTTGGACTTGAAGAAGGACTACTACAAACAAAAGATGGAGACCAAACAGGAACATTTCCTCCACCATCATTAACACACTGTTAATTTAAAATGTATATTCATTTTAAAATATTAATAGTTAAAGTATTATACTCATATATTTTTATAAAGTATTTTTAAATATTCAAAATATGAAATAATACAATATTGGACCAAATATTTGGCTTCCAGAAATCCAAAATTACCAGAAAACTGGTTATTTTTGAAACTGGCTAGTTTTGAATTTGATCAGCTATAGTATAGCTGCTTTTTTTTTTTTTTTTTTT